CTCAGGCAGATGCACTTCAACTTTGAAGGAAGCACCCAATAAGTCGACACCTTCGACATGCTTGTTAGGGAGGCAGTAGCTCTGTTCTTGTTTTCCCCAAAGTGGGACTCCTGAACCTAAAGGGGTAAAGAGGCAGGATTGACCTGAGTGTTCTACATGTCGTTGGCAGGTGACTTGAATTTCCAAAGAGAAGCTAGCCAACCTTTACACTGCTGGCTGCAGTGCCAAACGCCCGAGCACACCCATACACACCTCAGGATTCAATGCACTTAAAGTTATGGCAGCAATGGATAGGGAACAAAGAATGTTGTTCACAATGTTCCAACATTTGATCCTGTCGGTGATAGATTATTGACTTGGAATGCTTACCATAACCAATTGTCAGCTGTTGAAATTTGAGCGCATACAGAATGAAGCCATGCGAGTAAATATGTGATGCACAAGAGATATCCCAGTAATATGTATGTGATATATACTTGCACATCCGACTATTATAGATCTAATGTTGGACTGTTTGTGCTAGCACTTCGGATGGCTACCGTGTGCTTTAATGCGAGTGTATGCTACATATGCTGAGACAGCAGTCTGCCAATCTTTCCCTAAGGGACTGTGATAAACATTCTGAGTGTTTTTTCGTTGGCACAGGAGCGGAGCAAGGATGGGGCGACCCGTTTGCTATGAAGCTGAAACTAAGACTACCAGACTACCAGACCAGACTACCATTATAGATAGGCTCAAAGTTCTGCAAACTAAGTCAGTTCTCAGACTAGCCGCAAGTAAGAAGCACCTCCTGCGCGATTCCCTAGACAGCGCTAAGGGTCACAACTTGAAAGAGGAAGGTCTATGATGGCACAAGCTGAAGACACAATAAGACATGTCTGTAGGCGTGATAACATTGTTTGAGGAGTGGAGTGGCTCAAAATGTCCCAGCAAAGGTCAAACTTGTGGAGGGTTTTTACCACGCAGAGCTGTTAGAGCAGGAAATGGCCAGCGGGCGTTGCAGAGTTCGACAAAAGATTCATGTCAGTTCTCGCTCAGGCATTGTGGAAATCTCTACAGACGGATCTGTGTTGAGAGGCAGACGAAGCTCCTGTGGATTCTTAGCAAAAGTGAATTAGTTAGTTAGTTAGTTATACCTCTTGTGCCAAAGATGGCGCATAGGGCAGAGGTCATAGCTTTCCACGTCTGTCGGTTCTTTGCCACTTGATGTAGGTCTTGAGTGCGACAGACCTATGGTTGAGCTCTCCCTTGTGATGGTTCTACGGAGAGTTTCTTTTGGTCTTCCCTGTTTTCTTTTACCCTCTGGTGACCATACGAAGGCTTGGTGGTTAAGTCTCTGTATGTCCATTCTGAGTACGTGACCGATGTAATTCCAGCGACGCTTTCTAATAAAATCAGACACATATTTTTGTTTTGTTTCCTGTCTTATAGATGTATTGGACCTAAAGTCCGACCAGTGAACATTCAATAGCTTTCGGAGGCATCTATTCTCGAAAGCGACTAGTTTCTTATCGATTGATACTGATGATTTCCAACTCTCACAAAAGTGAATGGACGTCGACTAATGCAACAACTCTGCCCTATCTAGCCATGTTGCTTCTTTTTATTTTCTAAAGAACATTTGATGCAAACCGAGTATCAGAGTGGAGCTTTTCTTTAGATGTGCGCTAGCCCTCAAAATCTTGATCCTGTAGTTCATGGTTGGAAATTCAAAAAGGTATCTCACGGATACATAAGAGGTGTCCCATATTCATGCCAAAATAATTCGCTTGGCTTCATTTTGACCTTATTGAGTCTTTCATTTGGAGTATGGCTGACAGTGAGAATGGCTAAAGTGTATTCGATGGGAGTAAGAACCAGTCCCTGGAGCAGAAGCAGTCTTTCCTCAGTATTCGCGGCGACCAGGACCCTCATTGCTGACAGTCCTTTGCGTGCTTTGGCTATGACATAGTGAATGTGTTCTTTAAAGGAAAAACTGCGATCAAACTCCACTCCAAGATATGTCATCAGGTTTGTTCTTGTCAAGACTTCGTCACTGCTTTTAACTGATGGTAAGTCTGCGCTGACTATATCCACGTTCAAGGAAAACCACGTTACTGAGGCTTCCGACGGGTTGACATGTGCATTGGAATCAACACACCAGGAAGTGTTGCGATCAAGTTTGCTCCGCATTGCAAAGGCCATCTTCTGGCGGTCTCTACATTGTCGATTCATCGAGATGTCATCAGCAAAAGACGGAGTCCTGTCACTCGCATGCAACAGCTGCTCAGTTGTTAGTACCAATACACACTGAACAGAACTGGAGGCAACGGAGAACCTTGAGGCAATCCTGGACAGGTGGTTATCGGTTCTGGTGAGGACCGACAACCACACCGGAGTATCACCCGTCTCTGAAACAGTGCCGCGGCTACCCAGCGGATGATGAAAGACGATACTTAAAGTTGGAGATCTGTTAATGACTGGGCCATCACCACGTAATATTTCTATATTAGCAGTAGAAATAGTGAAGCCAACCTTCACTAAAGAGACAGGCCACACCACTTTAAAAAAAAACTAGTATCGATCTAATGTATTTATACTAGAGTACCGGATATAGAATATATACCAGCACGATTACCCGTCCTAAAGGCCTGACTGGCAACTGGAAGTGTCAGCACCGAAAACAAGAGGGAAACATGGGCGACTCGGCTGACGGCAACCTTGCGACTTCTTTCTACGGTTTTGTGAATTCAGTAGCACCGAAAACAGCGGCCACCTTACTCAAAGAAGCTGGGGTGGTAAGATGACGTGTGTTTGTTTGGTGGACATTTTTTTAAAATAATTTTATTGCGAATTTTGTGATGCGACAAACACCGGCAGGCAGTCGCTGTCACCACGTGCAAGACGTGGGGAACGATTCTAATGTTGATATATTCAAAATCTTGTTCTTCTACAGTAATTGTATTAAACTTAAACTATTGAAAGCGATGGGTTTCAGTTTGATGATATAGTTTTCTTTGTCTTTGAACTCTTTTTTTTTTTTTTTTTTTTTTACAGTTCAAACGAAAATATGTTTTGTTTCCTTTTTTTTTTTTTTTGGTGTTGACTTGCCATGTGGCTCTATATGGTGAGTTAGTGGTCGTCATTTTCCTTTTGTCTCTGGTACTTTACACTCAAATCGCCTGCTAAAAATGTTATATTCTAGGTACTTAGTCAAATTTTCAAAATGCCCTCCACACCAATAAAACCAGCACAGTTAGATAGCTGTAAACAATCTTTCCAATGGTACCTCATTTAGGCTTGTATGTCATTTCTGAGCTGAGATATGTAGGTTTTGTGTGGAGATGAGATGTAGAAAGCAGCTGCTAAAACTTGTCTCCCAGAAACATAAACAAGGTTTTCTCTGCGCATGCGCACTTCTGTTTTGGCTTTATTGACATTGGACTGTCACAGTTCACTGGACAAGATGGCAGACAATGAGACACAGCCACATAGCGATTGCCTAAAAAAATGTCACTGTAAATTTAAAAAGCCACTGTTCAGAAAGAAATTTTATACACACATGTAAAATTGGACGGAGAATTCAGTTATAACTAGCATTACCAGGACCAGTAATTTTTAAAGCCTAAAGCCAACCATGAATCCTTATCGCTATTTTCAATCAAACTGATGTAACAGAAAAACAGGACGTCTGACTGTCGTAGACATGCGCTGTTAATCAGGTTCCTTCCCGCCGTTTTTAGCTTTTTATAGTGGGTGAAAATCACACCAACCGCAAAATTTCATGAGAGATTAGGACCCATCCAGAAACCACAGCCGACATTTCCAAAACAAGTTTCAAACGGTTTCCATGGTAACGGAAATTGCCAAAAAGATCGCAAATTTCCGAAACTGTAGTCGCTATTATATTCCATTTCATAATAATAAAATAGGGCCTCTCAGTTCGGCCTTGATAAGTTTGTCTGCTCATGCCTGCAGAGTCTCAGCTGAAGTCGGACCACTTTTCGGCTATCAGAATAACTGACTATCCTCCGAATAACTGTATAAATTATTGAGGCGGAAAATATACCCTAACAGGGCCTCATTCACGTGTCCGTTGCGCACTTCCGAGGACTATAACGCCACCGCTGAATTGCGAACTTTTGGCGACTTTTGTCATCTCAGAGAGTATCCCCCACGCGGCGATGATTGGGGCTAAACTAGATGGCTAGAACTCACGAGCAAATAAAATGAAGGAAGCTGCAGGAGATGCGGTAGAAGCTGCTTGTAAGCCCCAGCCATCTAGTTAAGCCCCAATCCACGTGGCGTGGGGGATACTCTTGGCGGTGACGAAATGCGCAATTCACATGTGACTGAGGCCCTGTTATGGTATATTTTCCGCCTCAATAATTTAGGAGTTATTCGGAGGATAGCTGCAGTTTTGTTTCTTCTGTTGGAAAAGATTAGCTCTATTATGTCTTAACCCTTTCCACTCATGTCAAGTTCTTAAAAAAGTAGACTTTCTCTTCTTCAAAATTTTGTTCAAAAGAAACAAACCTTATGCAAACTTTACCCAAAGATAGAAGAGTGTGAGAAGAAGAAGCAGAAGAAATTTGCAGTCTTGTCAGTTTTTATATGACATGAGGGTAAAACGACACAAGAGCAATTTTTACCCCCCAAAAATATCTACATTTTGTTGGTAAATATAATCACATGCACCATGTCTTCAACACGCTGTACACTTGTCATACTGGCCACTGCCTAAAGATGCCATGTCACTTAGAAACAAATTTAAATGTCAGAACGAAGGGGGGGGGGGGGGAGAGAATAGAGGGCAGCAAGGGTTTAGAACTATTCCACATCTAGATTTGAAAAGAGAGATTGCATTGAGTATTCTGTATTGTATTAAAGGCATACATTTCTAGATTTTGTGAGTAGGCACAGCACTGTCAGACTGAGATGTCAATAAACTACTATTCATGTATCAAATGTTTATTGGTAAGAAATCTCTTATTCTACAACTTTTATTTTATCATCAACAGAAAAATGCATCTGAGCTACAAAAGAAATACTCGGAATGGATTCAGTAAGTCCACACTTGTGTTGTTTTGTGAACTCTTATTTGTTTAAAACAGTGGCACCTCAGTATATGTCAGTTTTTAAAATAAGTTTAACTAGGCAAACTCTTGTTCATGCGCTTACCATTTTGCTTGGTGTATGACCTGTGTGCTGGATCTCTTATGAGTGGAAAGATGGATGCACTCTCTTCAGCCTCAGAAGTGGAGGGGACAGAGGAAGCCCCTTGTTTCCCTGGATATCAAACAAGTTTGCAGAGAAGTACCACCCCCGACAAATGGATCCATAGATCATGGATGATCAAATACCGTCACAATCCAGACAAATGTGAAAGGAATATTTGACAAGAAAGAACAAGATAGTGTACAACACAGAATGGCCACCCTCAGTTATATTGATGAAGAATACCCACAAGAACAATGGGTCAGAGTCTATACAGATGGGCCCGCAGAAAGTGCAGTTAGAAATGGTGGTGCTGGAGTGTACATAGAATTCACAGATGGTACTAGGGATAAGTCCAGCGTACCAACCGGAAAGTACTGCTATAACTATGATGCAGAAACTCAGGCTATCAAAGTAGCAACAGAGAAACTGCTAAATACCAATCTTGGCTCCCAGTATGTAGTAAAGCTGACAGATGCAAAATCAGTACTTGAAGCACTCCAGTCTAGAAAACTACCAGAATTGCAAACACTGCTGACACAACTCAGCCTTCAGCAAAGAGTTGTAATGCAGTGGATACCATCATCCTCCGAAGTCGGAGTACATCTGCCGGAGAGGCAGGGAACGAGAACTGCAAACAAATAAGCCAGTAAAACGGATGTACACGCAAAACTTAGGTCAAGGTGAAAGCCAAAAGTCCATTTTGGGTGAACAACCGCGACTTACCGCCGGAATTCACAGCCGGTGAACAAGAAGAAGAAGAAAGGATACCATCAAATTGTGGAGTGCCTGGAAATGAGAAAGCTGATCAACTGGCAGGAGAAGGTGCGACAAAAGTGCAGCCGGATGTACCAGTCACATACCTCCAAAAGAAAAGAATCATTAAATCAATCAGGAAACCACCAGCCCCAGCACAAGAGGACTATTTTTTTTTGGACAGATCAGAACAAGTCATTATCCGCCTCAGAACAGGACACAGCCGTTTACGTAACCACATGTACACAGAATTCAAGATAGGTGTATCAGCCATGTGCACCTGTGGAAAGGTGCCCCAGACAGCAGAGCATGTACTCCAGGACTGCACTAAATTTGACACATTAAGGCAAACCTTTTGGCCAGAAGGAACAACAGTGGAGCGTAAACTCTATGGACCACTGAATGAATTAACAACAATGAAATTTATACAAGAAACAAAATTGCCGATATAGACAACTTGTTTGAGGCGAAAGAAGAAAACCGTCACCAGAGTGAAGTTTGGCGGCAATGAATCTCCAACATGTGCTGTCCCATATCTTTTTTGTGCACTCTCTGTGACTGCTATTCGTCCATCTCTTGATTTTTTTTTTTACCACTTGTATCATTGTCTGCCTCTTGGTTTGCTTTTTTTTTAAACATGAATTAGTGTTTTTTTTTTACATATTTGTTTTCTGATATGATCAAAATATTTTACCTGACTTTTCTTTTTCTTTCAGCAACTTTCTTTTCACCATAGTCTCTCCACAACCCCTGTATTTGATAATTTTTGTTTCCATGGATCTCGTCTTCTATATATCCACATCTTCAGAGATTCAGCTCATTTTCTAACTAGCTGCCTGTTCATTATCCTGGTCTCTGCATCAGCACAGTAGGGCTGGGTTTTCATAGCATTCAACAATTCTCATTTGTAAATGTATATCTCTCTCTCTCTCTAGATGTGTCGGTAGTTTTCATATCTTGTATAAGATATGTTTGGCCATTCTTCTGTGTGTTTGTTTTGTTTCACCTCTACAATCCTCTGTTATTACTTGTTTAAGATATGAGAAACTTGTAGCTGGTGTGTTATTTACACACACACACATGCATGCAAATGTGGTCTGCTTAACTTTGATGTTTTATTTGGGTCTGATTCAGGTCATCTTCAGAGAGGAAAAGAAAGATCAATGGTGATTCTGCAAGTTCGCTACCGACTAAACAACAAAAATTAGAAAAAGGGTATGTTGGCAAGTTTTCTTTGTGTTGATACAGTCAGTGTGTGCATCTAGTTTGTTTCCTTTTGGTACAGAGGTGGCCAAACTGTAAGAGTAACTGACATGAATGGTTTGGACCCTGATAAATTGCTGGCAGTAATCTAGGTCATAAGGGGCCGAGCATTTGAGGCATTATCTAGCAGCAAGTGTGACATCATGGCTTTAAAAAAAAAAATATGAACTTTTTTGTCAGTAAGATTTTCTTTGCAGTTGTGCTTATGCTTGATAGGCAAGGAGAAAACAGACTGTGCAGAGCTGTACAACAGATGCACATGCAAAGCTCGAGTCTGAAACAAAACCTGGAAATGGACAACCAGGAGTTTGCAGCTGGTGAAGACAACAAAAACTAGTTATATTTCGATAGTAAATGTTAACGAGACAGTGTTTGAAACTGGCCTGGCCAGAATCTGGCTAATTTAAAGTTACAACTCCATTGCTCCAACTTACTTTTCTGGAAGGAAGAGCTTGAAAAGAAAGGGATGATCATCAGTATCTCCAAAACTAAAACCATGGTGATCTCAAGAGAGGAGAAGAAACACCAGATCATGATGGGATAGTATGCATTGGATCAGGTTAACCAGTTCAGATACCTTGGAGTTGTATTAGACCAAAACGGAGGCATTAAGACTGAGCTGGCCACACGAAAAGCAGCTGCTGGGAGACTCTTCCAGGCCATAAATCGAGGGTTTCTTAGCAAAAGAGAAATTGGCAAGAGGACGAAAATGGCTGTTTACCGCTCTACCTATGTACCAGTCCTGACCTATGGTTGTGAGTCATGGGCAATGACAACAGCTCACAGAAGCCAGCTGCAGGCCTCGGAAATGAGATACCTGAGAATGGTGGTCCAAGTGACAAGAAGGGACAAAGTCCGCAATCGGACAATACATCAAGATCTTGGTACCCAGCCCTTACTAACCCAAGTAGATCAGTCACAGTTACGATGGTTTGGACATGTATGCAGAATGGAAGAAAATCGGCCACCATGGCAAGCATGGGAGGCTAGGGACCAGGAAACCAGACCTTTCGGGACGACCCAGGGTGCGCTGGGAAGACAACATTCGGCAGTCATTAACTGACAGAGGACTGAAATGGAACAAAGCCAGAAAGAAAACTGCTGATAGAGACTTCTGGCGATCTCTCTAGCAAACCTCTATACACCAAGGTAGAAGAGGAGTGACTAAATAAGTAAGTAAGTCCATTGCTCTTTGATTGTAGTTTTATAGGGCATGAATCTAAAACAGTTACCAATAAACTACATCCCTGTGGGGGTACCAGGACCCCAGTTTGGGACCTACCTCTGTCCCAGCATGACATAAAAGTATACTAATTAGGCGTGTTATCTTTGTCAGAGTGCATCTGCCGGAGAGGTGAGGCGCCAACATTCTGCTGACAAAAAAGCCAGATCTGAAAAATGAATGTGTACGCAACATCCAAGTTCTGGAAAAAGGACCAAAGTCCAGAAGTGGATGAACAATCAGAACTTCCCGCCAGTTTAAAGCTATTGAATGCAAAAAAGAAGAAACTGCAAACATTTAACTACTGCATGCATATGCACGCACGCACACACACACACACAAAGAAATTAAATGGTAAAACAAATCACAAATGTAGAACTTCTACTGAAAACTAAACAAATTACAATCAATCAAGAGTTAAGAAGCTGCATTAAATAGGACACAATGTGAGAAAACCTGACAACTAGAATGTTGTTGCACTAGGACACAGCAAATCCAGTATTGAAACATAGGTAGACGGTGTTTCTTTCCCTTCTTAATTTAGGTGCCTGTGTTTCATTTAAGGATAAAGAATAAGACGATTTAAGCTTATCTCAAGTTGACTAAATCTAATTACTTCGGCTTGTAAAATATCTCTCTAAATGCGGATATATGGCCATGTCTGCTGTTTTTGAAAAGTTTTTCATTTGCCTGCGCAGTATTTACTAGGCCCTGAAATGAATATCCTGTTGCGGAAGCTGAAATGTTTTGGTCATATCAAGCCCCGTGACGGATTGGAAAAAAAAGTATAGCAGAAAGCATGGTACCAGGGAAAAGCAGGGGCCGACCGACACGAAGATGGGCACAGGATATGACTTCTTGAGTATGAAAGTACACGAGGTGGGAGAACTGGCTAGAGACTGAGTTTCTTTCAGGCAGACTGATGAGAGTGACGTTCTGCAAAGGACCTGCTGCATTATGTTGATATAAATATAGTTACAAAAATAGAATTTACGGAGGTTTTCTGACCATTTTTGTTGTTGTGTCAGATTTGTCTGTAAGTCTCAGTGATAGAGGTCACAGAGTCCAGACACCAGCCACACAATGAAAATTTTTTGTTTATGCCCCAGGTAGTGTCCATTTAATGCTTCACCCTGTTAGTGTTTTACTGTTAACCTTCTTGTCTGTATATATTTTTTGAAGAAAAAAATATAAAATATTAGTTTACCAATTTAATGGACCTTTGTAATGTGATGACCCTTCAAAAAAGATTTGTCCCCAGGGAATTCCTGTGGGTTTGTGACCTCATTTGTTTAGCTTTCACATTGTGAAATCGTTAAAGGGTGTGATGGTGGCCAGTTCATATGGATGCTTGCTGATCCATGTCAGAGATTTATTTGTAGATGTAAATAAACACGCTGCTACATTTTTGGAATATTTTGTCTTCAGCTTTTAATATGTTAGATGTATGCTTCTCAACTCAGTCTTTTTATTTTTTTTATTATTAGGAAAAAGCGTGCAAAGGAAGACAGTTCTAGCAGTGACAGCGAACATGACAAAAAGACACCACAGAAATCTTCTCATCCTCCCAACAAAATTGCCAAGGTGACCAAAGATTCCAGCTCTTCAGAATCTAGTTCAGACGAAGAACCGGCAGCCAAGACTACTAAAAATGCGACAGTTAAACCTGCGACAGTTAGTAAGTCAGTGGCACCTGCAAAAAAAGCAAAGGAATCCAGCAGTGATTCAGATTCTAGTTCAGAGGAAGATACGAAGAAGAAAGCTCTAGCCACAGCAGCTGCTTCTAAGATTGTGGCACCACCAACAGCAAAGAAAACCGGGTCATCAGACAGCGACTCAGAATCCTCTAGCTCGGAGGAGGACAGCAAGAAGAAGCTGTCGCCAAAGCCTAAGACGGCAGTTGTGAAAGCTCAGAATGCAAATAAAAAGGCAAGTTCCAGCAGTGATACAGATTCTGACAGCAGCGTTGACAATTCTCAGGCTAAGAAATCGGCAGCTAAAAACGTGGCTGCTGGTAAACCTGAAGCTGCCAATAGAAATGTCAGTTTTAAGGAGGAACCCAAAAAGGCTGCTGCAGAAAAAGGGAAGCCGGCCTCTGGTAAAAAGGAAGAGAGCAGTTCTAGCAGCGATTCCAGTTCCGAGGACAACAAGAAAGTCACTGCTAAGGCTGCAGGCAAGAGATCGAACTCAGTTACTGCTCCTAAGGCTACAAGCAAAGCAGCAAACTCTGTTGCTGCAGCCAAGGCTCCAGGCAAAGCAGCTAAGCAAGCAGAAACCTCTGATAGTAGTTCTGATTCCAGTTCCAGTGAGGATGAAACCCGTCCAGCTCAGAACAATGCCAAGAGCGCTGCCAAAGCCCCTGCTTCTAAAAAGGTTGATGCATCTGGTGATGCTAAGCCAGCAGCTAAAGGAGCATCTAAAAAGGCCGAACCGGCACCCAAAGCTACTGCCAAGAAAACGGCCACAAGTTCAAGTGATTCTTCTTCTGAAGATGACAAGAAAGTCAAGCCTGCACAAAAGAATGCTGGACCTGTGGTGACAAAGCCAGTTGCCCAGAAGAAGGAGAGCTCGAGCAGCGATAGTAGCTCAGATTCTGAGGACTCCACAACAAAGAAACCAGTAGCCACCACACCCAAAAATGTTACACCAAAAGCTGCTGCAGCTGCTGCCAAAACTGCTTCAAAGAAAGAATCATCTTCAGACAGCAGCTCAAGCTCAGAATCAGATGAAGCAAAAAAGAAACCAGCAGTCAAGGCCCCTGCAACACCTGTCAAGAAGACCATTACACCATCATCAGCTGCTAAAACTACCAAAGCTGTTGCAAAGAAAGAAGAATCATCTTCCGATAGTGATTCCAGTTCAGATTCTGATGATGCTAAAGCTAAACCGGCTGCTACACCCAAAAATGTTAAAGCTGCCGCGACCCCGGTTGCCACACCTAAAGCTAAAACTCCAGCCAAGAAAGAGTCATCCTCCGACAGTGATTCCAGCTCTGATGATGCTAAGGCTAAGCCGGCTGCCACACCCAAAAATGTGAAGGCTGCTGTTACTCCAGTAGCCACACCTAAAACTGCTGCAAAGAAAGAATCATCCTCCGACAGTGATTCCAGCTCTGATGATGATGCTAAAGCTAAGCCGACTGCCACACCAAACAATGTAAAAGCAGCGGCCACCCCTGCAGCTACATCAAAAGTTAAAACTCCAGCCAAGAAAGAGTCATCCTCTGACAGTGATTCCAGCTCTGATGATGATGATAAAGCTAAGCCGGCTGCTACACCCAAAAATGTTAAAGCTGTTGCAACACCCGTAGCCACACATAAAGCTAAAACTGCAACCAAGAAAGAGTCATCCTCTGACAGTGATTCCAGTTCAGATTCTGATGCCAAACGTAAGACAACTACTACACCTAAAAATGTTGCCACGCCAAAAGCAGCCGCTACTCCTGTAGCCACACCAAAAACTGCGCCAAAGAAAGAAGAATCATCTGATAGCGACTCCAGCTCCGATTCTGACGATGCTAAAGCCAAGGCACCAACTACGCCTAAAAGTGTAAAAGCAGTTGCTACACCTGTAGCCACACCTAAAGCTAAAACTGCAACAAAGAAAAAGTCATCATCCGATAGTGATTCCAGCTCCGATTCTGATGATGCCAAAGCTAAGTCAGCAGCTACACCCAAAAATGTGAAAGCAGCTACACCTAAAAATGTGAAAGCAGCCGCTACTCCTGTAGCCACACCCAAAGCTGCAGCTAAGAAAGAAGAATCATCAGATAGCGACTCCAGCTCTGATTCTGACGATGCCAAAGCCAAGGCAACAACTACGCCCAAAAATGTTAAAACAGCTGCTACTCCAGTAGTGACACCCAAAGCTGCAGCAAAGAAACAGTCATCTGATAGTGATTCCAGCTCGGATTCTGACGATGCTAAAGGTAAGACAACTCCAGCAGCCACAAAAACTGTTAAACCTGCCCCGAAAAAACATGACATTTCTGATAGCGATTCCTCAGCCAGTGTTATACCACCCTCTCAGGCAACAGCATCAAATCTTTCGCTGGCTGGAAAACCCCCACAAACAGTAAATAATACGAAAGCTTCCAGCTCTGAATCTAGTTCTAGTGATGAAGGAACGGAAACAAAAAAGACGAACATTTCAGTGTCCACCCCAAGCATGCCTTCAAAATCGTCTAAACCCATGCAGGCATCTACACCAAGTATAGCTATTACCAATTCTAACAAAAAGGCATCGTCAGATTCAGGCAGCTCATCAGATTCTGATGAAAATGAAGTTACAAACGTGTCATCCAAAGCAAAATCATTTACAGATGCTAATTCGTCACACATAACAAATAGCTTCAGCACTCCAAATGCTTCATTCACTTCACACAATGGCACCCCACAGCTGAATAAATCTCAGACAGAAAACACACCTAAAGTCAATGGCAAGGTAAATATTGAGTTTCTTCATTTCTTCTCTCAAGACATTTGGTATTATATTTTGTCTTTTCTCTGTGATTACAATGTACTGACCAATTAGCTGGCAGTCATCAGGTTCCAGTAACATTTGTGATAAATATTGACTAGCCAATTATTTTTTATTATCCTGAATTGCCGTGTGAAGAGAATAATCTTGCAGACAGGAAGTGAAGCTACAGACAAGACCAGACCTATCTGAATAATGGAATAGTACAGCTAGCTGGGATGTTTCAGTTCTTATCAGTATTAAGAAATGTTAAAACATGGCTGTTGCAGATCAGCAAAGATACAACACATACATACATACATACATTGTGTTAACCAGCTGGTCCCCTCAAATGATTGTCATGGCTCAGAATTTGTGAATACCTGTCACTTCATGAAAACTGCCCTTAGAACCACTTTTGTGGGGGGGGGGGGGGCGTCTTTGCGACTAGGGATTTAGTACCACAGGGCTGGTGATGTTGCCACGGACTGCAGGTTAGGATTTCACCCCCCTCCCCCCACACCAGATAAAAACAACCGTAGAGGATTTGGACCTGGGTCTCTCGCATAAGAGTGACATTACTAACTATTCAGCTGGCCACTCCTTATCACTTCATACCAGTGTGTACTACCGGCTGAGACTCTTTGCTACATATGTGTCACATCATTCATTCATTCAGTAGCATGTCCCTCGCGGAACCTCGCTGCCATAACAACCCTCCAGAAAACCTTCCTATCCTGAGCAAGATGTCCTGCGTCTGATACACTCATCTGGAGATCATCTGCCACATCCTGCACCCATCTTCTCCTTGGCCTTCCTCTTCCTCTCTTCCCAGGCATATACCCCTCCATTATTGTTCTCTCTAGACTTCCATGACGTTTCAAGTGACCAAAATATTTCAATTTTCTTTGTTTTATTGTCTTTACTAGCCACATCAGTAAAGGTAAAGTCGGGGGATGTGAACCAGCGTCATTGCACACGGTTATAAATCATACGTGCCCAAGCCACCAGTACGGATATCAGTATATGTAACAGGGCCTATCTTACTATAGATAGATTTGAATGAGCTGTTGAAACAGGATAAAGCAACCAAGGAGATTTTGGTTGAATCTTGTTTCATTAATGCCTGCAGGTCACTCATGATCAGAGTTTATATCACAAACAATTCTGTGTTGATTTTTTATCAAATTGTTTCGTGCAGCACTTTACATAAAAAATTCATGTCATTTCCTAATGGTCTCTCTATTCACAGAGAACTCCAAACGAACCATTTCGACGCGTGAAGTCAGAAAACGTGTTCGTGGATCCAAGACTGCGCGATAATTCCTTTGACGGGAAGGTAAGAGCGCCGGATACTATGAGTGGAATGTTGTAATTTAATAAAAAAAAATAGAGAGATGTATGTAACTGACCGCGCTTGGTATACCAAGCAGCTGAGTGCACACTGATTCTGTTACCTATCAGCTGTTAACTGGGATGCCTAGCTGCACTAAACAGATATTGGCAATGGGTGTCTGGAGGGGTTTTAGTTAGACAGGCACAACCTGTTGAGTAATTTTAGACAGTTCAGGCGGGAGTAGGACACAACTGAATGAACTTTGGTGGGGTGAGGGCGTATTGGCACCTCTTTAAACGATAGTGTTATATTGTGCTGTAAGAAGACGTAGTAATCCTAGCCCTTGGCTTGTTGCATGTGACCAGTAAGTCTCATTCATGCTGAGAACAGTCTTCCACAGGACCATTGTTGCCATAACTTGTATTTAGCATGCAACTGAATGAATTGTGGTGAAAGATTTAGACGTTCAGATGTAAGACCAGTGTGGGCAGAAATGTCACTGCAGTGGAAATACAAGACGACACGTTAATAATTTTGAGTAGTTGTGGTATAGACCCACTCCCCTGCTTCCCCACAAAGCATGTCTTAAAAGTCGACTGAGTGGGATATTTTCTATAAAGTCGGAGCGCATCTGCCTGATAGGCAACGAACCATCTTCATACAAATAAACTGGATCTGTAAAATGAATGTGTGCGCAAAACTCACTTCTGGAACAAGACCAAAGTCCAAACATGGATGAACAGCCAGAATTTTTCACTGCATGTGAGGATAAGCAGCATGTCCTTGGGTGAGCCTAGAATCAGAGCATCATGTGCCAACTCTGTATTAATGGAAGCCTTCCTATATGGAGGGGGATGTACATATTCTGTTATACACAGTTGCATTGGATGGGTTCTCTAGGGGCAGCACTTAAAGATGAAGGGACAGAGGACACCACACTAATAAAGCGATGCCATGTCCAACATAAACCAATGTGCTTGATGAAGTGTATGTGTTGGCCAAAAGGTGCAAACATCACAGCTGTGCTGTAAACAGACACGACACAGTTACATCACTTGGATGAACGATGATGATGAACTGTTCAAATGTATATTATAAAACATGTCATATACAAATACCAGAGCAGCATACACATGAAAATACCTAAAGTCCAGAAGTGGACGATCACCCAGAACTTCCGTACACATTTTTTTCATATGCACTCTATTGTGAACCTAATTAATTTTAAATGAGTCTGGTTTTAATCATTGTGACAATCTTTTATTATCATAGAGCGGAGCCAGGGGATCCTGGGGCGAAAAAGCCAGCAGGGATCTGATTGTGACTCGAGGCAAAGGGTTCAAACACGAGAAAACCAAGAAGAAGAGAGGCAGCTACAGGGGTGGACAGATCGACACTGGCGTACACTCGATCAAGTTTGAAGACAGCGAGTAGCTACTTGACCTCAACTGCATAAGCTGACCCTAGCCAAGGACGTGACAACTACCAGCCATTGACAAACATAAAATAACCTGAAGTTCATTGTTCAGTTTTTAAACAAGTTTTTATATGATCACCTTTGTCATTCATTTGTGTAATTACACTGAGACTGCAATGTATCAACACCAATATCATATAGTTTATAATTATTGTGTGAATTTTAAGTCAAGGAACCAATGTATCTGAACCTAGTAGCAATTAAAATGTTCTAAATATGATTTGTGATTAGTAATGTTTTTTGTTTTAATAATTAAAAGTAGAAGCTGGATAAACACATTTTGAGGCATGTTTCTGTCACTTGAGTAAATATGGTTATAGAGATTTCTGTTGCTTTTATGGATTGTGTTTAAAGACTGAAAGTATGGCTGAAGAGATGAAAGATAAATTGTGTGTGGTGAAGGGAAAACATGTTTGATTTGTAAAGACGGCGTTGGCTGATATGTTGATAGTGATGATGAAGCTAATATGTTCAGATGCCAGATGTGTTTGTGGCAAGGTAAATATACTTAGATACCTTAATGATAGTGGTGAGGAAAAGGTGAGATGATGAGATACCTTTATGCTGGATGTGAGAGAAAAAATGAGATGCTGAGAAACCTTTAGGTTGGAAGTGGGTGAAACAGATGTTGAAATACCTTTATACTGGAAGTGAGGGGAAGATAAGATGTTCTGATGATTCATATGTTGATGTATTGTGTTCATGGATTTAAATATACCATGCATTAGAGAATTTGGAAAACACTGAATAGCTCAGAGTTGATCTCCGGGAAGGTTTTGAGGAAATTATGATTCCCAAAACAGCTGCTGCTGCTATTAGGAAGTGAAGACGTAGACTATTTCTAAGCTGCCAGAATGGACATTTCTGAGGAAAATGATAAATGATAAAAATACCTGGACAGTCATAAAAGTGAATACGACAATCTTTCAGAGAATAGATGAAAACTAAACTGATCAATAGAGACCAGATTTTTGTGTGGACATTTTAGTCGACAGGTCATCCTCATGGCACATCAAACCATTCAGTGCATATCCCCTCGGTAAATGCTACAAGCAGGAGTGGGCAACCTTTTTTGTTTCCATAGGCCAAATTACCAACCTGGTTGTGGGTCATTATAAACAAAACACCCAGATTCCCATGTAAGTGAGGTTGTCCGCACACACGTTTAACCAGCAGGATCAAAGATTTGGCGACCGCAGTTTCTGGTTATCTGTGGTTTTGGGTTGTTTGTTACTGGACTATGAAACTGCATGTTACTGTTTTTGTCTTTTATGTAATAAAATAATAATGCTTTGCAGTTCCCCGCTTTGTCTTCCATTGTTCACATTAAGAGAGAATGTATCTCAGGAAAGACAAAAGGTAGACCTAGGGTAGGTTACAGTCATTAGGGTGCGGTATGGCAAGTCCTCAAATATTTAAAAAATGAACAGCATTGCGATTGCATTCGCCATGAACTGTGCATATTAAAAATGTGCAGTTTGCTACACCCTAAACCTTGTTTTCAGAACACACATTGATTGCCTCCGAAGTCTTTGCGGAAATGGAAGTCTAGTACTGGTCTTGCAATACATCGCTGGGTTTGGAGAGGGGACAGAAGACTGCAACAGAGTGGTCACGATAGAGATGTCAGTGTGCTACTGACCCAGGAGACAAATCTGTACCAGCCTCACACCAACAGATATTCCTTTCTAGAGCGCAGGCAAAGTTAACATTAATGTCCCGGACCAAGAAGTTTCAACTCTTTTCTCCTAAAGGGGATTCACAGCTCACTTGAGAAAGGTATAATTATGTTCATAGACCACGAGGCAGACCAAGAAGTTTCAACTCTTTTCTCCTAAAGGGGATTCACAGCTCACTTGAGAAAGGTATAATTATGTTCATAGACCACGAGGCAGACCAAGAAGTTTCAACTCTTTTCTCCTAAAGGGGATTCACAGCTCACTTGAGAAAGGTATAATTATGTTCATAGACCACGAGGCAGACCAAGAAGTTTCAACTCTTTTCTCCTAAAGGGGATTCACAGCTCACTTAAGAAAGGTATAATTATGTTCATAGACCACGAGGCAGGCCAAGAAGACAATGGAGAGATAATATACAGACCTTCAAACACTTGGTGTCACCAACTGGAATGAGAAGGCCAACCAGAGAGATGAGTGAAGGTGGGTGATGTATCTCAAGAGCTCTGAATGCTGAAGAAGAAGAATTAATATAGACTAGGGACGGGATTTGTCATTAGGAAAAAAAAGTGTGGGGGGAAAAGTAAATTTTGAAGCTATTTATGATAATCAGTAAGTTACTATAAAAAAAAAGGAAAAATATGATTAATGTGCATGCACCCACCGAAGACAAAAGATGATGCGATTGAAGATTTCTATAATCTTGAGAATATAGAGGAAACGCCAAAACTAGATATTTTGATAGTCTTAGGAGATTGCAATGCAAAAATAGGAACAGAGAACACCTATCAAAATGTAGCAGACACGGTGAGCCTATATACAAATTCAAACGATAACTGATGGAGATTACTCAAACACACAGTCCTGCATAGGACTGCAGGTTAGCAGCACCAGATTTCAAAGACAAGGTATACATAAACAAACATGGCAATCATATGACCAGTTAACTTATCATATAGATCACATTTTAATAAATAACAGAAATGCATCAACACATACAAGTGAAAAGTTAAGATAAGCTGAGTGCCATAGTGACCACTACCTGGTTGGTGCAAAATCAAATTTGAAGAGATCCTTCTATTCAGTTGACTTAAAATTCTTGCCTTTCAGAATTAGTTATTTTAGCAGTAGTTATAAATAGTACTGCAGTTACTAAGTAACTCCTTCTCTCCTCTCCTTTCATTTTTTTTCTTGTCTGAAGGTTTGACCTCCCTGAGATTATAATATCTCCATGTGAATGACAAGCCAAAAAGACAAATCTCGGATAACATGTTCAATATCCAAATAAATTATAAACCATAATGGCATACCAAGCTAGTTTAATCGGCAGGTAATGACAGGGTAACTCCTGTTTTAACAACATTAATATCAGTGACATAAATCACTACGCCACTTGCAGAAATTGGAAAACCGATACCGCCAGAAGTACAACACAAACAAAAAAGTGCCCACTGGCAACTATAAGAATTCATACTTGTCAGATACCTCTTCTGTCTAATGAAGATGCCATGAACGATGTCTACATGAGCAGTAGATCTATTGTGCTTAACAATACAAGCAGACAACAGGGAACTGCAAATTGGCATTTGTTGGCTGTGCATGTCTGTCTACTTGACCTTCAGTCTCAGGAAATGACAGTTTTTGAGAACATGTGAGCTTCTGTTTGGCATCCATTCCCTATTTAAGACATCTTGCATCATGTCTCTGTCCTCTCTACCTAACTGTCTCTTATGAACTGAGGTGACTTTTTCTACAGGTTATCTCATCCTTATTCCCCAGTCTTCTACAAATATTCTTTTCCGTCTCTTTCTCTCAACCCATCATACTATGCAGGTATTCCTTTCTGTCTGTTTCTCTCAGCCTACTGTACCGTGTTGAGATGCCAACCGCCAAAAATATAAGGTGGAGAGCTAACAAATGCTCTCTCACAGACTGGTGAAGTCTATATTTAGTAGACAGTAAGTGTTTTCTGCAGCAGTCAGATCTTAAACCTAAATACTCTGGTCATTCTAATGTCCGAGAAACAGATCAGTTTCAACTGTGGATGTGTCCATGGGCTAAAAGTTCTGGATCTACTAGAGATTCTGACAACGGCAAGTCCAGGTTGTACTGATGGACTCTTCGTTCTCTTGTCCGCTGTGGGATGGGCAACTCTGAGTGATGGGCTGGAAGCGGCTCAGTGAAGAAATATGGATGCAATAGGGCCTGAAAGTGATCAGGATCAACAATTATTTATAGACAAAGTACAAAATACACAGCTAATGTAAACACAACTTCAAGTTATATGATTAGTTGAAGAAGCCCTTCACACTCTGAACAGAGGCATCTGTCGTAAGACTATTTTCAATAATAAAAAAAATAGATACTGGCTGGTGAGGTTAGAAAAGTATTGAAAACATTAAAAGAAAAATTAAACTTCACAAAACATTTAACACATAATTTTCACAACTATCTTTAATTTTTCAAAAACTTAACATTCTCTTTATAGTCCACACCATGTTGCGTTGATAACCATGTCCGCCCACAACCTTCTGTCTTGTGTACTTTAATCAGTTCTGACACAGATGATCTTCCATACCATTATTTTATTACTTATAAATTTCAGAAAACACTACTTCACCAAACATAACACTTATAAACTTTATAGACTTTACAAAATAGAACACTTATAAACTTTACAAAATTGAATAAATATTGATAATAAACCTTACAAAACAAAGCTAACATTGTACTACACAGACCCACCTTGTTTGCTGATATTCTGGCTCTGCTTGGGTACACAAGGAAATGCTTGAGAAGGTCTAGAGCCTCTCTGGAAGCATCAGGAACAATCTCCTCTAGGGGAATCGGAGCTTTGTTGGAGAAGGAGATCTTATGGAAGTCTGGTAGATCAAGTTCAGACATCCCCTGGGAAAAACAATACAAGCTTGTTTGCTAGAACTAAATTTCATGTTTACACCAGAAAGGAATGTTCATGTCATCTTTGAAGATGATGTTTCCTAAAGATACAACTGACGAGGATAAAATTATTGTAAAGAAATAATGCTTGTGAGATTATCAAAATATTCATAGAACAATTTATATCATAATCAAAACCCAGGAAGGTGTTAAAGCAATATTTGAGTTAATAATGCAAATTATGTAATTATTCTAAATAATTACACTATAAATGAAATAAATATATACTCTAAGAACTTGATGACCACTTTATATATATATCCTAATTATAACCCTGAGGGTTTAACAGGATATTTATGTGAAAAATTACTGGTACTGCTTCTACTACTGCTGCTACTACTACTACTACTACTACTGCTACTACTACTACTTCTGTTACTACTGCTGCTGCTACAACTACTGCTGCTGCTACTACTACTACTACTACTGCTACTACTACTGCTTTTACTACTACTATTGCTGCTACTACTACTACTGCTGCTGCTACTACTACTACTACTTCTGCTGCTACTGCTAAGCTTTATGCTACTCAGGACATATTTAAATGGGAATGATTATTTATAAAACTTGAACAACACAAAGTGGAGGTTGTTAGATAAGGTTAGTTGCCATGCTGTCGATGAAACCTGGATGCAGTTGATCTTGAGCAATCTCTGTCATTCACAATGAGGGGGTACCGACGCAGAGAAAACAGTGAGGAGGGGTCAGGGCGGGCCTAAGTCTAGCTTAAGGGAATAATAATACACCAAATGGTATATAACTACAATAACATACTTGAAATATGAAATGTATATACCAATACTAAAAAAAAAAAGACTTCTTCACATGATGTGAGGGGTGCCTCAATAAACATTTTTTTCAAGGGGGAAGCTTTATAAATTAGGGGGGAGGGGGGGGGGGGGGGGGTTTTAAAAGAACCTAAGCCTCCCAGTTTTCTGGCTGCCCTGATCTGAAGTAACTCTTCTATAAGACAATAAAAAGTAAAGGTCCCTTTTCACGCTTTTAGGCACATCGGGTATATGGGAAGAGCGCCCATATTTTTACAGACCAATCGGCACTAGATAGGTAATATGGTCAGCATTACGCCAGCTGTCTTTACTACTCCAGGACATACATCCTGGTACCCATTTTAGGCTGGGTTGACCTGCGACGCCCCATACCATGATAAAAATCCATGCAGCCAGCAGTGGGTTTTGATCGCTGTACATTGGAATTACAACTCGGACTCGAAATGCCTAAGCCTTGGATGCTGCTCTATAAGACAGCAATGGTAAACATGTTAAAGTGGAAATATACAAACCGGCCAAGTATTCTCATTTGGTGTTCCCAGTACCTTGACTACAAGACACAACTGCTCAATATCAGTTTCTCCCTGTTTGAGATAGGAGACAAGAATCAAGATCACATCATAAGAATATCAAAGCTGGAGTATTTACAGCCAAATGTTAAAACAAGCTAAAATGTCCTGTTTGAAAAATCATACAATTGTTCCCTTACAACTAGGTTGCACTGCTCTGAGAAACATAAGGCCTAGAGTTCTACAGGTGGACAGGTATTTCATTCTGATCAGCCTTGCCTTGCCCCTGACTCTCTTTAGCCTACTTTCTCCCTCACCCCTCTCTCAACTTTCCTTCCTTTTCTCTCTTCCCTCTCACATTCTTTCTCTCCCTTCCTCCTCCTCTCTTCCTTTCCCCCTTCTCTCTCTCTCTCTTGGTCATCTGGATGTCTGTATGTTCTGGCTCTGAAGTCGGATGTTTCTGTGTTCAGATAATAAGGGATCTGAAAAAAGTGTGCATCTGTTGGGGTCAGGATGTTGTTATAATGCTTCTCTTGTCTTGAATCATGGAAGCAAACAATTATATTGCAATTTCATGGAGCAAAAGAGAGAAGACATAAATATTCAAACAATTATATTACAATTTCATGGGGGCACAAGAGAGGAGACATAAATATTCAAACAATTATATTACAATTTCATGGGGGCACAAGAGAGGAGACATAAATATTCAAACAATTATATTACAATTTCATGGGGGCACAAGAGAGGAGACATAAATATTCAAACAATTATATTACAATTTCACGGGGGCACAAAAGAGGAGACATAAATATTCAAACAATTATATTACAATTTCACGGGGGCACAAGAGAGGAGACATAAATATTCAAACAATTATATTACAATTTCATGGGGCCACAAGAGAGGAGACATAGATATTCAAACAATTATATTACAATTTCATGGGGGCACAAGAGAGGAGACATAAATATTCAAACAATTATATTACAATTTCATGGGGCCACAAGAGAGGAGACATAAATATTCAAACAATTATATTACAATTTCATGGGGGCACAAGAGAGGAGACATAAATATTCAAACAATTATATTACAATTTCATGGGGGCACAAGAGAGGAGACATAAATATTCAAACAATTATATTACAATTTCATGGGGCCACAAGAGAGGAGACATAGATATTATATAGCCTACTGTCTTGGTCTTCTGTTTCTCTGTGGCTCTTCTGCTGCTGGCATTGTTGAAAGAAGCAGATCCCACCTGAGAGTAATACCGGTCATTGCCATGGGTGTTGGGGCTGAATCTCTAGAAGTTGCGCTGGCAGAAAGCTTGACAAATCTGTACTATGTGTTTGTATTTGTGTAAAATAATATAACATAAACATAACATAACCCTTGACCTAAAAGGGTCGTGGAGGTGTATCTATGGAAGCAATACCCAAAAAAATCTTTCTCTGTCTTCCGCTTGAAGTATAAGTGTATGATAACTTACTCCTGTCTATTTCTTGATGTTATCATTTCAGGTTTTTCTTTGCCCTCCTCTTCTTCGACTACCCCCCCCAATGTTCGTTGAAGTACAGTCTTTGCAATCGAATCCTGTCTCACCAAGTGCCCAAATCAAGCTAGCTTGCGACGTTTCATCGCTGCCAAGAAATTCTGCAAATCTGTAACATTTGTATAAAATCTGGTGGTTTTAGAAACCTTATGTTTTCAAGACAAGATACTGTGAAGAAAATTATGTGTACTCACAGGAAAAATGGGAGAGTTGTTCAACAGTTCCCCAAAAATACATCCAACAGCCCTGCAAGAGAACACCAAAACTACTGGATTTAACTCTTAACTCTTTGTGACAGTCTGATGCATAATTATTTCTCTAATTATTAATTTACCGTAAAGCATTAGAGTTAATAACTTATTAATGGCAGTATCCACTTTAGGTCATAAGAAGACACACAGTAAACATTAATATCATTTTTTTTAAATATAAACTTTTTAAAAATAAATCAACGTTACTTTTTTTAGAAACAAAATAAATAGAAATAATAAAAACTGCTACAAATTACAATTACAGCTCAGATGTTTAAAAAAAAAACAGGTAACTATTTCATATATTACAATTAATCTGGATAATCAAAATCACAAATCTTACCATAAATCAACTCCTTCGTCATATTTTCTAGCACCATAGAGCAGTTCGGGTGCACGATACCATCTATAGACAAATTGTAAATGCTTAACTGGCAATAGAGGATAAGTCTTCCATTTTTAGAATAACTAGACAATTATATTTCATCTGTTTAAATCACCCCCAATTACTGGCCTTTTGAGGGCCTATAGACCAAAAGGTTTGGGGCATAAAGAGAGAATGGCAGATAACAGAGAGACAAAAACTACACACACAACAGACTTCAATGACAGGAGACCAGGGCTATTCAACTAGCAACTTAGCGGCCAAATTTCTAGGGTCAGAAGCGGAGCCCCAGCTTAGAAAAAGCATTATTACATATCAACTGGCAATGATCCGGGGGCCACTTGAAAGGCCTCTGTGGGCCAGGTTTGGCTTGCGGGCCACCAGCTGAATAGCCCTGGAGTAGACTATGAAGCAAATCAATTAGAAATTAGAGCTAATTTACAGGCAGATTTACAAAGACTTGGAGTCACTAAATGGAAGGAGTTAGCCAATCACAAAGATGAATGTAGGCAAGTAATAGCTGTGTAATGAACCCAAAGATCAAGGATGCTGAAGATGTAGCAGACAATTATATCACCACAACTATCATGTGCTTTGCCAATTGGCTTAGGTGTTCATGTCTTGCCGCAGATCTTGGCCTGGTGACCTAAATCAATTCAGTTGATGACATTCTTCCATGCAATCATCTTTGAGCATAATTTCTGTGAGCCTGTATCTGTCTCTTCTACCATGATCTCTCCAGTTGTCATAATGTTCTTCAGTGCTTCTCTTCTCACAGCATGATGAAAGAACAGCGTCTGCTGGACTTCTGAGTGAGTTCTGTTCTGACTAACAGGTCATAAGTCAAATTTATATTTTTTTAACACAATTTCATACAAAAAGATTAAACAACTCTACACAGAACACACAAATTCGATCAGTGTACATATAATCATTGTACATAACCTGAAAATACACAATATGTACTCTTTTTGACCCCACCAGTGTAGTCATCTTTCTTTACTTACTACTTATATATATATATATATTTATTTATTTTGTGTGGTTGTAAGTGTGGATGTTCATCAGTCAAGGAGAAGGTGTACACAGTTTTTTTTCTCTTTCTTACATAAGTCTTCTTCATTTTTTTTTTAGCAGAAAAGAATAGACCAACTGCCTCCCACTACCCTCCCCCCCTCCACCCCCTTCTTCCTTTCCCAATCCCAACAAAGTGTGTTGTAGGAGGTGACCAACCAGGGGTGTTTCCTTTGAGTCAGAGTGCATCTACCTCTGAGGTGAGGAACCAGCAGTCTGGAAACAAATAATCTAGATTATATGTGCATGCAAAACTCCAGTTTTGGAACAAGACCAAAGTTCAGAAGTGGATGAATAACCATAACTTGTTGCTAGAATTAATGGCCAGTAATGTGAAGAAGAGGAAAAATTAGCCAGTAAATGATTGGATGGTAATGTTCGGTAGACCTGGATATTTCTGCAGACTGGCACTAGATTAAAATGGTCTCACAGAATCACTAATGTGGAGTATTTAGAGAGAATTAAATAAACTTCAAGAAATTAAGAGGCAAGGAAAAGATGCTGGCATTGAAGAGAACCAGTTAACATGTCAACTAGAAAGTCCTTAATCTGGTACGCACACAGCAAAAGAAACAGAAGGGGTCTTACAAAATCCAAAGAGTGTTACAGAAATGAGTAATATGAGGAGGATACATTAGGGGCTCAAGAAAATGACAAAAGACAGGAGGTCTTGATGTGACGGCCAGTGGTCTATGCTTTATTAGAGGATACAAGGCAGAAAAATGATGGTGCACCTGGGGAGATATAGCCAAATAGGCAATACAGGATCTCCCTCACTCATGACCGAGTACCGTTCTAACAGGTCATTAATCGAACTTGACATAGGTGGAATTTATAATTATTATTACTATTTTCATTGAAACGGGTTGTAAACTTTGTATATCAAACACAAAAGTTTAATTAATGTACAAAGAATTATTGTAGTTAATTTGAAACATACATAGTATGTACTGCATTAGTTATGGAAACGTTTTGACTCCATCAGTGTATTAATTGTTCCTTATTTATTTTTTTTATTTATTTAATTTTTGTGGTCGTTAAGTGCAGATGGTCAAGAACTGAGGAAAAAGCGCATTTTATTTTTGCCTCATTATTTTAATTCACAACAGGAAAATATGCTGGCTCTGGCTGGTACTAGCTGTTGCAGATATTATTCTAAGAACACTCACCTTGTGGCAACTTGATGACTGTACTGTCGATCTCCGTTGTTCTGAAACACCCTGGCTAAGCCAAAATCAGCAATTTTCAAATGTCCAGTCGAGCTTATCAGCAAGTTTGCAGGTTTTAAGTCCTAAATTTGGTCAAATGACGCAAAGAATACCAAACATTAAATCAAAATTTCACAGAAATATGAGAATTACATAAATCTTTGTTCACATCATTTCTCAAGACAAGCATCTTAAATGTGAATATCTCACCCTCATTGGACAGCTGGTGGTTGTAGGAATTCATGTACTGGGCAGATAACTCCTCGTGTGATCTCTGAGAGACTTTCAGGGAGATATGTGTGGCTGGCCAAGGGGTTATAGTGTTGGGCTCAAATGTGGAAGACCCAGTGTCAGAGGCCAGTTCGGCTTTGAGAAGCACAACAGATGTCTTATAGTGAATCATCACGCTTGTACTAGTTGACCTTCAGTGCAAACTCAGTGTGTGAACGATCAGCTCGTTCACACAATAAGCCGTGCCCAGTTTAGAGGCCAGGTCGAGTTCACTCAGCCTGACACGGAGTGCTGCGGATTTGGCCATGAACTCGGCGGAAATACAAAAGGCTTGGCCCAAGCGGGTTTGAGGGGAGTGGTGAGCGGACAGTTGTGGACGACGGTTGTGTGCTGGTCGAGAGAGAGAGACAGGACAAAAGTTTACGACGAGGTAACGTTAGGTTAGTGACGGTTAGGTACAAATAGGATATTCGTATTTAGTGTCTGTGATAGGCGGTATTTGTATTTATTGTTGTCGGCTAGATGGTAGAGAGAGTTAAGGTCTTTGTGTAGTAGATATTACAGGTAGTATTTGTTTAAGCAGTTAATCATAGGTGACGCGCCTGGTAATGGCGATTACACTGCCCGGGCGAGCTTAGGCCATACACTTTCCGTGTATCGCTGAAGTCCCGTTTGGCAATCGACGGCGGATTGATTGGCACTGAGACACTGCTAGCTAAGAATCGTGCTCCCCTAGATCCATGGAAGCTGGCCTGGGGTGACTAGTGAGTGTAAAGCTGTCATCGCCAAGGCAGTTTCGGATGGGAGCTGCTTAGCCCAGTTGAAGTGTTGTACGTCTAATGTTCATTGTACATTAAAGATAATGGTTGTACTCAGCCGGAATGTCGTCTTAAGTGTGTTTGGGTAGTAGAGTCTGTCAGCTGGCCTTCCTAGCGAGCCATATAAAATAAGTAGAGTAGAATAGGTCCCTGACACCCAGGTTTGATCTCCCACAAGGGATGGAGATTACTTTTGTCTGGAGCAAGAAATAACATCATAACCTGCACAGCAATTCTCAGGCTCAGGGGTCTACTCCCCATGTGGGTTATGGTTGTACTGCCCATGTGGGTCATGGTTGTACTGCCCATGTGGGTCATGGTTGTACTGCTCATGTGGGTCATGGTTGTACTGCTCATGTGGGTTATGGTTGTACTGCTCATGTGGGTTATGGTTGTACTGCTCATGTGGGTTATGGCTCTACTCCCTAGTGGGTTATGGCTCTACCCCCTATGTGGGTTATTGGTCTACTCCCCATGTGGGTTATTGGTCTACTCCCCATGTGGGTTATGGGTCTACTCCCCATGTGGGTTATTGGTCTACTCCCCATGTGGGTTATGGGTCTACTCCCCATGTGGGTTATGGGTCCACTCCCCATGTGGGTTATGGTTGTACTGCTCATATGCGTTATGGCTCTACTCCCTAGTGGGTTATGGCTCTACCCCCTATGTGGGTTATGGGTCTACTCCCAATGTGGGTTATGGGTCTACTCCCCATGTGGGTTATTGGTCTACTCCCCATGTGGGTTATGGGTCTACTCCCCATGTGGGTTATGGGTCTACACCCCATGTGGGTTATGGCTCTACTTCCCATGTGGGTTATGGCTCTACTCCCCATGTGGGTGACGGGGCCTCCTTTTGTGGTCAAGGGATTGGGGGAGGGGAGGAGAAACAGACTGAGAAGAAAAAAGGCAAGAAGACAAATGATAATTGTTTTTAACACAGTTAAAATGATCTTATTTTATGTGTATGTAAACATACTGGGTCAAGCATTGTTCCCTGACGGCTTTCGAGAAAGTCTGATGTGTTCTGTGATTTTACATCAATTTGTTTCTTGGGTTACCTGTGCCAAAAAAAAAAAGCAAAAAGGACTGTTGCATCATAGCAACTAAAACATGACTGGATGCAGGAAAATGAGGAGAACTATGTGCAATACATGTCTGAAAGGCCTCTAAGGGCCTTACTTTCCAAAATACAGGTGTTAGGACTTTTCAAGCTTCATCCATACAAAACTTCACCCAAATTCTTCAGGTTAGTTATGTTTGTTTCCAAGTTTTATAAAAATTTTATAAATATATATATATATATATATATATATATATATATATATATATATATATATATATATATATATATATATATATATATGTATATATATATGTATATATATATGTATATATATATGTATATATATATATATATATATATATATATATATATATATATATATATATATATATATATATATATATATATATATATATATATATATATATATATAATTGTGTATATGTTAATTAAACACTTTATTTGTTGTAATTTTTTGTGTATAAACTATGAGAATACCCTCCTGAAAGCTCCGTCTTCTTGGCACCGAAACTCTAAAAAGGCTCAGTCTCCATCGTAACTGTGACTGATCCACCCGGGTTTGTAAGACCTAGGTATCAAGATCTTGACATATTGTCTGACTGCGGACTTTGTCCCTTTTTGTGACTTGGACCACCTTTCTCATATATCTAATTTTTGAGGCCTGAAGCTGGCTTCTGCGAGCTGTTGTCATTGCCTATGACTCACCCCCATAGGTCAGGACATAGGATAAAACCTAGTGCCCCACAACGAGCGATTACCTAACATAACCCTTAACCCATTAAGGTCGTGAAGATGTATTGATTGAAGCACTAGCATATAGAACCCTCATCTTTCTCTGTCTTCTGTTTGATGAATAAGAAACACCCAGTGACACAAAGTGGCACTATTCAGATCAGAAAACCAGGTACAAATTCCAGAAACCGTCTTCAAGTGCAGGATTATATTTGGGCCCCCGACGGTTATGAAGTAACTAAAAGTCTAGCAGATGTGGGGCTGTAATATAAAAAAAAGTCTTATCACATCTCGGGATGGGAAGTGAGTTCAGCAGATTCCCTTGACTTGAAACTTTTAAACTTAGGACCAGCAAACTTAAAATAGTTTCTTCAAGTTTCTTCATTAGTATATCCCTGAGCTGCAGAAAAAAAAAATGCAACTGTTTGGAGACAGCAACAACAAATCAACAGTTTTAAAAAAATCTGGCATGTTATCTAACCCGATGCATGATGTTATTTTCATGGCAGTAGGCAATTCCTTTGAGCAACATCAGCATGTATGATTTGACCTGGGCTTCTGTCAGTGGGTTGTCTACCCTGCGTATGACTTCAGAAAGGTCAGATGGCATGAACTCGAATACAAACACAATTAGTGACCCATGAGGAAATACTTCACGAAGTTTTACAACCTGAAATGTTTAAAAATAAATAAATAAATAAATACATCTGGCAACTTACATAAACAAATAATCTTTTCGAGTTATGACAAAGTTACAACCAACTGTTTTATCTTTACCAGAAAAGTAAAAATTAAGGACCTTTTTATGCCAGTGACACATAAGGCATACAATGTTAGACTTATGTTTTATATGCCATTTAATACTTTGAGGGTCATGTGATCAACATCTCACCAGCCACCTTTACTTTCCAGGACATTTCCTGATAACCATCTTAGGCTGAGTCAACCTCAAGCCAAAGTCAATTTTGACAGAAATCTGCCTCGATGCAGAAGGGAATCCAGGGCCTTTGGGTCGGAAAGCGGGCATCTGGCCACACCACTATCATCATGTAGCACGTCCTTTGCAGAACGTCGCTCTCATCATAACCTGACTGAAACTCCATCTCTAGCCAGCTGTCCCATTTCCTGCACTTTCCTACCCAAGATGTCACTTATATCCTGTGCCCATCTTCGTGATATTTGGCCCCTGCCCCTCTTTCATGGTACCCTGCCTTCTGCTTTTATTCTCTCCAATTCACTGTGATGGCGGAAACTGCCAAAATATTTCAGTTTCTGGGACAAGATGCTGTTCACTAGTCAGGATGCATCTTCTTTGTCAATGGTATTCTGAGAAATCTATGCTACTGGAGCTCCCAATTCCTATCACAGGCAGGAATATTGTTTTTTTGAATGGTACTGCTACGGGGTGCACCCACCCTTATAGAAATGAGTGTAAAAAATGGAGTGAAAGGAAATGAAAGAGCTGACAGATTGGCTGTGTCTGCAGTAGTTAGTGGAGGAAGAAGTATGGACAGGGCAGACATACTCAATGTGCTGCAATCCACAGACAAATGAGTCAGAAATAATGAACCCCCTGTTTAAAATAGGTATTAAATAAGGGTGCTTTATTTATATCCTACCCCAAATAGGGAAAATCTGCAGGTCATAGGACAGTCTACTATTTCAGAGGGTGCTAGATAGGCTGCATGCAGTCGGGGGACCTAGGCTGCACTTTCTTGTGGGACCTAGGTGGGTCGGGGTTAGGGCCAGTTTTAGATGTTCTGGGCTGGTTTAAAGCATCAGAAAGCCTGGAAACCCAGTCTTACCACCCTTTAAAATGTTAAACTGTCGTGTGACGTCATCTAGGGTAGGATATAAATAAAGCACCTAAATAAGTACCAGTCTGTAGAAACTGGTTAGCGGTGAGAAGATTTGCAAGTTAATTCCTACTTGCTACGGTGAGCATGCAGACCCTGAGCTGGCTGCGGCATCAGAGGATGGAGCATAAATAGGTTGGATCCATGTGCTGCCATGTGGATAGAAACAATTAGTAACAAGACAATTTTGAGCTTGCTCATAATCCTTACCCACACCGGACAGAATGGTATGCCAGGGTAATACTCGGTGTAGACAATTCAGGTGGCCTAATTATAACTTCTTGGGGGCTATTATAATTTCTGAGGGTTAAACATGGTGTCTTGGAACCGCCCTGTAGGTTACATTACAAAGTTGAGTCTCTGACTACCAGGGGTGCTCAAACCTTCAGGAGTGGGTCTCTGACTACCAGGGGTGCTCAAACCTTCAGGAGTGGGTCTCTGACTACCAGGGGTGCTCAAACCTTCAGGAAGCTGTGTGTGGGGACGGGTGACGACAGACAGTTCTGAGGATTTTTTTTTAGAAGAAAAGGTGAAAGGAAGGGAACTGGATACTCAAGCTAGCATCTGGGAGGAATGTGGCTTTTCTGCCTACCCCCGGGTGTGAACCCAGACCACAAGTTCGTCAGCCGGTCGCTGTGCAGTCCAGTTTAGCCAACTGCGCTAGCGAGCCGGGCCTCAGATAAATAAATACTCACATAAGGATTACTTTCAATTTCTTGAAGTGCCTTGATTTCTCTGTAATAATAAAGGTTGAAACATAACAAACAAATAATGCAGACCCCGATTAATCATATTTAATAAATTAAAGAACTCTTTTAAAAATACACAAACAAATATATACTAGATAACAGAAAAAAAAACAGTTATAAAACTGACACACTCTCAAAAAAGTTACAAATAACAGAAGTGTCTTTCAAGCTGCAATTAGTTAGTTTTTCCTCCTGGACCTAGGGTGGCGCATAAGCAGAGGTCATAGCTCTCCGTATCTGGTGATTCTTCGATCTGCTTTAGGCCTTAGATGTTTTTTAGACCATGGACGGGCCTTCCTTGACAATGGTTCTATGCAGAGACACTCTTAGGCTTCCTTGTTTTCTTGCCCTATCCGGTGCTAGAAATCTGATTCTAAAACAAATGATGTTTTACGATGGCAACCTGTCGAGTTGTCGAACAACATTCTTAACCTTTAGCACCCCACAGTCGAGTATACTGGACTTCCGCCGTTCACCCCGTTGCCTCCCACAGTCGAGTATAGTCGACATCTATATATGGTTCAAAAATACATGGATTAAGCGGAGCTACGCGTTTGACGTTACTTGAAAACTATAAATAACTATTCTACAGTGGTTTAACTTCCTGTAATGGTGGATAGTAGGTTTGTTTGCTCAATTTTTATGAGCCGGTTCGATATCCATCACCATCCTTCGAAATGGAATTAAATTTTTCTGAAATCTTCATGGATTCTGACTCTGACGATGAGATGTTGTGTTTTACTGCAGCCGATATCAGTCGCGAAGTTGTAATGTCTGGAGACGTAAGTGAAGGTAGTTCTGTTTACAGTGTGTCAGATTCTTAGGATACGGATTACGAGGAGATGCATGACTAATTGGTGAGTCTTTATGTTTGTACTGTTTTTTTTTACATTTTCCCCATTTCACTCTGTCCTCACACATCACCTATCAAACATACACCAACAAAACTCATATCAATGTATGCAGAAATCATTTGTTTATTTCAGTTTAAATAATTATGCAAAATTATTCATAAACCAAAAAGTTATTGTGTTTTCCATGTTTCCTCCATAAAAAACGCAAAATGTGAAAAAATAAGGTGGGAGGCAAGGGAAATAATTTTGAATTTTTATTGTGGGGTTGCCAAAGGTTAAGCCAAGCTAAAAGGAAACATGCCCCATCATCTTAACCCAAAACCAGAAACCTGTTTTCTGGAGCTGCAATCACCAGCAGAAAGAGAAAAAAAAAAAATTCAGGAATCCACTGGTAAGAAAATATGGAACCCTTCCACCACTGAAAATCAAACACAGAGCCACTGTGTGTTTATAAACAATGAGATTAACAACTTCCCCATTCAATTTCATGTGTAGTTGAAAAGTAAAGAAGACAAAATTTGTAAAACAAACTTGAGCTTTTACAGAATTCTATACCCAAGAATACAATATTTACCTCAGTGCTGTGTTTGGAATCCCTTCTTCTGGATTTCTCAGTAAAACTTTCTTCAGGGCAACTATGTCTCCACTCTATGGAAGAAAAGAACAAATTTGTTAACAGTCTGTCTTCACCTCTTTGTTAAAAACAATCCTTCCTAATGACTTCTAAGATGGGGTTAAGGGCATGAAAGAATGAATGAATGAATCAAGAGCTGTAATCGCTGCACTCAGGTCATTCCCAAACTAGCCCCATTCCCAAACAAGCTTGCCCCATTCCCAACCAAACTTGCCCCATTCCCAAACAAACTCGCCCCATTCCCAAACAAACTTGCCCCATTCCTCAGTAGTTCATGAAGAGTTGCCATCAGGGCTTTTTTCTAGAAAGAAAAGGTGTTGGTACTCAATAAACAATGTCTTAAAAAGGTGACAGTACTCACCCCAGAGTGTCACAAAAATGATGCTTTAAAAAAAGGTGTTTGTACTGCCAGAAAAAAAACTGGTTGCCGTACTGATTGTGCAAGACATAACCTGCATGTCTGCACACTGTATGCCATCTAGACCCTCTGCTTAGTCTCCACAGAATCAGTCTCTCTGCAATGATTACTCTTATGTTCTGCACACTGTCGACTGGATTCCACAGAAAACAAGAAAAAACTTCTACACCAGACGGTTTTAAACTGTAAGGGATCTATCAAATACAGAAAAGTGAAACACTTTTTTACAGAACCAAGAAAGAGCTGACGAACCTATGTATGTATTCCTTTCTACCATTCAGTGGGCTAAAGACAAAAGCCAGACTGTGCTGGATCTATAATAAACAACATAACAGAACAGAAGAAAGAAATGTTTACCTCAATGTGTTTTGCTTTCTGTACAATCCCATGAGCCCCTTCTCCAATCCTCCCAAGAATGTTGTACTGCTCCATATTAAGCCTCTACTTATCTGTGCGAAAAAAATAAACATGAGATATAACTTTTTGGATTCACAGGAACACAGATTCATTGGCACCTTCCCGTCTTTCCAGATGATAGTGTTATATTGCGCTTTGAGGAGGCTTAGGACTCACAGCCCATAGCGATGGTGAGTGTGACTAGCAAGACCTGCCCACATTAAGAAAAGTCTTCCACAATTATCGTATGGGATTTCAGGACCACTGTTGTCAACATCTGTGTTTAGTCAGTTTCTAGGTGGCCATTAAAGTTGCCTCTTTCAGCATGCACATTAGAATGTCTAGCGATCATGAAAGCACGAGAGCTTTGACCCTCATTGAGAAATTATGTTTCTGCACTCTTTATGGGAAAACCAATATTGAGACAATTATAAGGAGGTATTGTAGAGATGCCAGACTGTGACATAACATGGTTTTGCCATGCAGATGATGAACTGATTTTTTGGCAGCATGCAGTAAATTTTACCGGTAAGTAAGTTCATAAATATCTTCTAAATTAGTGATAATTGAGCAATTTGGTGTGCTTTTATTTCTTTAACTTAAGACCAGCTAATATATAATTGAACAGAGAAGCATGTGAATTCTTAGACCTGGACTGCAGTGTTGTTGAACAAGTAAAAAGTAAGGTAAGCACAATACTTTTTGTGTAAATAATCTTCAGCTATCCTCCGAATAACGATCCCAAATTAGTGAGGCCGAAAATATACCCTAACAGGGCCTCAGTCACATATAAATTGCGCACTTCCAGCTACTTAAATTGCGGACTTCCGGCGACCACCGCCGAGAGTATCGCCAGCGCCGCTATGCGCAGATAAACTAGATGGCTGGGACTCACGAGCAGCAGCGACCGCATCTCCTGCAGCTTCCTTCATTTTATTTCCTTGTGAGTCCCAGACATCTACTTTAGCCCCACTAAACGCCGCACGTAGCGGTGCAGGAGATACTCTTGGTGGTGGCGGTGGTTGCCGGAAGTCCGCAATTCACATATGACTGAGGCCCTGTTAGGGCATTTTTTCGGCCTCTATAATTTTTGACCGTTATTCAGAGGATAGCCTAATCTTCATTTGTGGCTAACATCTTTGAATAGTGTGTGATTTAAAAAATTTATTCTGCGCTCATTTCTCTTTAATTTGATATATTTTACGCCCTATACAGCAAATACTTTTTCTTCAGGAAGGTTTTAGCTTTGTCATGTTGCTGTAAAAAAAAAATTCCTTTCGTTACCTCGAAGACGGCATAGACGTGCTTCACCATGCTTTACACCCATGTCATGCAGTCGTATTAGTGTCAGAGATTCGTCATTATCCAGTAGCCAAGTACATACAGCGTTATCTGCTCTGTCCATGCTTCTTTCTACGTGCGTTTGGGCTCTGCTTGCCAGTTGGTTTGCTTTCTCATTACCCTTTACCCCTGCATGACCAGGTGTGTAGATCCAGGTAAGGAAGATTAAAGTACGATTTCCGATTGCATTATAACCACTCACAGCCCTACTGCCTATTTCTGTCTTCTGAATCATGTTCATGGAATTACTGCACGTGAGGCTGTTTTCTCTGCTGCCCATGCCAGGGCTCTAGAAGCAGTGGTTCCATGGTCGTGCTTGACGTAGTCGCCTGGTAGACGCCGATGTCCTCTTCTATTGTTTTCCCTCTCTTTTTTGTTGTGGATGCCCATGCTGTTTTTTCATCCGCCCTTCAAAGATTCATCTGTGTATTTTATGATGTCTTACAGTTGTGAATGCTGATAAATCAGTGCCCTAACCTCTGTGTTTACAGCTGCAGGAATCTTATCCACTAAAAATTAATACTGTTCAAACCCCAGAAAACATGTCCTGAAAGAGCTAAGAAAAACATCATATACAGTTAGGCCTCACTGTCCTGATTGCAGTGATATATAATTGCTAAGGGATAAGTGGGAAAAACAAAACAGTTATGGCCATAAAATGCAAACATTTAGTCTTTCCACACTACATTTTACTGGGATGCAGCCCTGAATCCATCTTTTGTCAGGTTCCTCTATAATTTGTCTATGGTGGTATATGCCCCTAAAATGTTATCTCCGATAACACTAATCTGTCATCTCGATACGGGATGCGGTTTGTTGTTATTTTAAAGCCCCACCCCGGCTGTAGTCGGGAGCTCTAACATAACATAATTGTTAAACGGAGTTCCTGGGACCTCTCCCCGGGTGATCCTCATACGCATGGTGGCACTTTGTGTCACCAGGTGTTTTTCGCTTGGTGGATGTCCTGCTCTTCCATTCATTTATTATCTCCGCTTAGAATCGACTTAAAGGCTTCACTGAGGTAATTAAGATCGGCATAGCAAAAAACGAGACGCACACCAGACACGCCAGAACATAGAACTGGTACTATTAGTCATCGGACGTTGGGGTTCATACTGATGGGAGGATCTGGGCACCTATGGCCATGTCCGGAGTGCAATGATGATAACCCAGCTAACTAACTAACTAACTGAGGTATCGTTGTATTTGTAATTTTAATCTCTATATAGCTGTGATGGTTTCATAAGTAAAAACCCAATATATAAAACGTCACTAGCATCCCTAGTTTATTATAGATAAAGGCACCTCTAGGACTTCTAAAAAAATCTGTGTTTTATTTTCACTTGACAACCAGGACTCAGTCGCTGGTTTTCTTCTAAAGCACTACACACAATTTATCTGTAGCAGATACATCTGTGATTACAGTTTATGTTTAAAAGTACATTCCTACAATCAATTATATACATAAATGTTCAAGTTATACCACAAACAAGCCAGAGGAAATAAACAAACAAATAACTGACGGTGTCTCCCGGGCAAGAATGTTTATATCAGCAACCAGTCCAGATTTTTAGCAAAGACCGACTATATCTATATTTGAACAACCAGTTGGGGACATTTCAAAACATAAAGATAGTTTTGTTTCGTTTAATCGACGGATCAACATCATGGAACACGGGTGTAAACTCATAAGTGCTCCGTTCTACTTCAAACTCAAGCCTGAGTCTAAAGAATCGCAGTGACGTGCACGAACTCCGTTGCACCGGCGAGGATCCTGGAATACTTTTGGGTAAATTTTTAACTTTAAATTTTGCCCAGTCAGCGCACTTAAGCTATTCTTTTCGATTTCCAATTGCTAAGGGCTTTTTCGACATGAGCAACATTACACACGGGCGTCCGATCTTACTACCCAGAGAAGTCCTCGTGAAAAAATCACAGCCTTCACCGTGGTTTGAACCCGGGATCTCCAGCACCTGAGGCGGATGCCATATCTCGAGACCACGCAGCCAGGAAAAAACAAAAAACAACAATCGCTTTGTAACAGTATCCTGTGCTCTAAATTGATAGAAAGTCCACACACACACACTGAGACCACTTGGAATCCTCTCTTCTTATTCTTCACTTTCTGCAGTTACTTCATCAAAGTGCTAGGGAGGAGATTTAATCGTCTTCTTTCCAACGCATAGTATGAGTTGAGCTTCATTTCTTTAAGGCTGTTAGTTCTTCATGTCGTCATTCCATCGCCTATATCAGCGGTTCTCAACCTGTGGGGTCGCGACCCCTTTGGGGGGTCGAACGACCATTTTCAGAGCGTAAAGAGGGCAGTACGACAAGAATGACTACTCTCACCTGATTTGTTTTCATTGTACAGTAACTGTATAATTAGATCTATCCTGGATTCGCTAGGAATTGTAGTTGCTGGTCGTGATATAAGCATCCTACGTTATGCTGATGCACGGCCGACTCTATTTATACAGAACAGCGTGGCTGATGACACCGTCTTCACAGAGACAAGTCAGAAAGAACTACATGAGGATACCGGTCTGCTTATGAAGATAGCATTGTGCAAAAAAGTGAACTTTAAAATATTTAACAAACTCGCATCTATACACTCACACACACACACACACACACACACACACACACACACACACATACACACAAGGCGCCTGAAGCTGTGAATTTGGTGCCTTTGAGCGCCCGTCCCCACGAAAAAAAAAAACATTCTAGGACTACGAGGATGTGTGTAAGCTTGGGCATTCAAACAAGACTAAGGTCCTTTGAATGCCCCCTCCCCCAACTCTTTTTACAACGTTCTAAGAGGGGGTTGGACTGGCCACTCTCTCCGTAATAATTTTATATCAGCGCCCTTGCAAACATACCCCCCTCCCCCTTTTCTTTGTTTACACACACACACGCGCGCATACACACACACAAACTCACGAGCGCGCGCACACACACACACATCTTCAACATTTTTGCCGCTGTCTGCAATGGGAAAACCTTCACCTTTAGCTGCATTGAGGCCAGGAGGATATCCTCATAGCGAAACATTTTGTCTCGGGTGATTTATGTAGCAGCTGCTAGCTCCAATCGCGAAAACATTTCCTTTCCCCGCCGGTTAACATTTTGCAGAACCGATATTAACTCATTAAATTTTCCATGCCAATCTCTGCGCCTCCTTTATTTAAATTCGCAACTCAGGATATAAATTTGTTTTTTAGTACTGAGGTGTAATGTTTTGTTTTCTAATGTTGTGATTATCATTTTTTTAAATCTGTTATCTCACCGGTTGAGTTTTCCGGTCACAGTTTGCGATGTACTGAATACAGGGGTACCTCGATATACGTCTATAATTAATTCATAATACTTGGACGTATACCAAACAGGACGTATACCAAACAGAATGTATACCAGACACGTTTCACGTTAGAAATAAATAGCGAATAATTAATTCGTTTAAATGAAAAAAAAATATAATTGTGTTTTTAGCATATTATACATTGATGTGGTTCTACGAGGGAAGTAATTTAAACACTAATTTATACTAAATCAAATAAATACAAAAGCAATTAGATAAAATATATAAAAAACAAATTTATAAAATTAAAATAATAATTTGCTGAAAAGAGTCGAGTGCCTTCTAGGATGGTGCAGAGAAGGAGGACGAGATGTTAATGTTTGGAAGGAAAGTA